GACTATTTCCCTAACGGACATAGCAGCTGAAGGCTGGTCAACCACAGTAGATTAAGTAAGTAAGTAAGGCCTTGTTTGAAAGTGACAATTACTTGATAACATCTACAGTAAAGTAAGTTCCTGCGACCAAAAAACAAATTAACATCACGTTTCAAAACCAACAATGCCTGCCCTACATTTATGTGTAATAAAATTGAAATTCTCTTTTGTATTTTCAAATAAGGTTGACACTGAGGAAGAAGAAGAGGAAGACAAAGAAGACAGTCCTGCTCCAACAGACTCTGTAAGTGTCGAGTTTATTGATAATATAATATATAAAATATAGAGTGCAGGATGCCAAGAAAGTCATGTCTGTTAGCCTGGTGCTATTTGATTTTGTAGTGGAGCTAGTCTATGGGAAAGTGAAAATTTGAATTCTTCTTACCGAAGTACTATAAGAAATGGTGTTGTTGTAATTTCTAATTAATTATTGCACTAATTAAAAAATTTCGGGAGGGTTAGTATTAAACGCATTTGGGCAACTAGTACATAAGTATTTCCAATTAATTTACCTCATCATTAGTCCCATAAGTCAAAATGTCAATTCTCCTCTCTGATTGCTTTATGTTTCAGTTATGTTCGTTGGGAGAATTTTGTGCTGTATCAAGGAAATTTTCCCACTAATATTCTATATTGCTTCACAATATAGAAAGAAATTGGGATTGAGAAATTTTTTTGATTTTGTTTTTCTGTAGAAAACTGATGCTGAAGCAAGTGAAGAGGAAGAAGAAAAAGAAGAAACTCCCAAGCCATCTCCAGATGCTGATACAGTGATTCTCTTTACCAAACCCTCTAACCAAGGTTTGTTCACTGCTCCTGTATTTGATTTGTTTTAGCACTTGACAAACTTAAATTATGTGTAATTAGGATTATTAAGTTTCTGAAATTTAATTGCTTGGTCCCACAAGCCTTTGGCTAAAAACGTTGACCAAGTGTAAATAAAGGTTGTAAATTATTTTATTCTATTTTTTTCAAATTGCATGAAAAAGGTTTTTCACTGTTTAAGTTTGGCTCTGTCCTCAGAATTTGCTACATTTAGTAACTAGTAACTAGTTCATGAGATAAATCAAATTCTGGCAATTCCATATCAAATTACAACCTTTTTGTAATGCACTGTTTCATCAGCAATATATCAATATATCTTCATCTTCACAAAGAAGATGAAGCACCTTGAAAATTCTGAGGATTGGAAACTACATGCATGTGTCCAAAACTCTCTGTTTGACCTGTAGTGCCATCGTTATACAGGGTCTGGAGACAAATTTAAGTATGCAAGGTCTACTTCTGCAGTGTTGAGTGCATATTTGAAATATGTCAAATTTGCTGTAAATTGACTCAATTAAGCTCTCAATATTACTTTTGTCTAAAAAGTTGGTCGTCAGCACACTTGCACACAATTCTGCCTAAAGATCTGGTTTTGACAAAATGCAATGAACACTGTCAGTTGCCTGTAGGGAATGCAAGTAAGTAAGGGCTTAATTTATGTAAGGTAATCCACTGTGTCTGTTCTTCATGGATAGAATTTCCTGCTGGTGAAGTGATCAAGTGTCTCATTGGTCTGGGAAATAATGGCAAGAATGATTTCATTGTGGAACTTGTTGAAGCATCTCTAAGGTAACTACATCCTATCAGATGTTTTGCTCTACACAATAATTTGTATTTCACGTCTCTCAGCATTTCTGCAGCATTTTTTTAGCACTTCCAGGACTGTTCCGTATTTTGAAGGCAGTCTCATTTTAGAATCAGAAATTTCTATGTTGCTTACCTGGTTGGGTTAAGTATTTGTCAATATTCCATATCAAAATTGGCAAAGAGGGTATCAGTCTGGATGTTGCTATTGCTTTAAAGTGATTTTATTGAAATATGTTATTTTCAGGTACCCTCAAGATTACACATACTACATTCAAAATGTAAGTACAATGTACGTGTAAAAAATGTTGTCATTATCTCTCATACACAGTGACTTTGGAATACTCAGAAAGTACTTAAAACTTATCAGCCTCTCTGATTGTAAACATTATTTTGTTATTGCTACAGTTCACTGGATTCCAGTATAACACAGTTGTACAGCCAGGCAGTCAGGTATGTCCTCAACATTCACTTGCTGAGTTTTAAAAATATTTGAGAGAAATTGTTCAGTTATGTTTATTTACATTCAGATATATTTGAATATTGTTTTTGATTTTGGCTCTTGTAGGTGATGGTTGGGTTAGTGCTCTGTCATCTTTTTTGCTCTGTAGCTTTGAATCATTTTAGTTATTCAGTGTAACTTACCACATTCAATTAAAATATGTTGATGTGTACATGTAATAATGAGATTACATTGTCTTTTTATTTGTGACTTCAACAGGCTTCTTTTGAATATGCGTTCAAGCCTCATGAATCTTTTGGAGGACGCCCATTTGGTCTAACTATTAACTTGGCATACAAGGATTCGGTGAGATATTTATGCTGAAAAAGCCAATCAATAAAGCAAGGCAGGAAAAAACCCAGGTCCGATTGCCCAGGGCAAGTAAATTTTGCTCTTGGGCAAGTGACAAGAGAAGTTCAGTGGCCCCAGGGGCAAGTAAAATAAGCCTCAGTAGTCTTGTGAGTCTGAATAAAAATATCAACTTGATAAATGAAAATTTTCAGTCAGAAGCTATTTCAAAACTTAAGACTACAAGATTAGTTAACCACTAGATTGAAAGCTTGGATTAGTTCGGAATCCAAGCATACTTTGTGCACTGATGTTAATTTCAGATATGTAGTATTTTGTCATTTATATGTCAAGTAATCTGCTGTATACTTGGCAATAACTACAGCTCACAGACAATGAAGGGTCGTTTTTTTTTTTCTGTTCAACATAGGAAGGCAAGCCATTCATGGATGCAGTGTTCAATGAAACAATTAACATTACAGAAAGTGACGAAGGAATTGATGGTGAAACGTAAGAACTGCTTGGTTAATTGATTAAAATGTCATCTTGCATTCATGATGCTTAATTTAATAGAGTTTCGCTTAGAGAGCTTGATGATATTTAAAGAAATAGTTATTGTTTTTTTATTAATCTCATCTTATTACATTGGAAAATGAACCAAATCCTGAACTGGGATTGGCTACTCAAGCAGGCAAGATTTTTTGGCAGGTTATCTTGCCTGCTTTGTCCTACAAGGAAATGGTGCTCTTTGTGCCATATAGTAAGTACTGTCTACCTTTCCTTGTTTGGTCAAGATGTCTAGAGTGAGACTTGTTTTCCTATAGTGAGCTGTCTTGACCTCACACTTGGTCAATAAACCATATATCTATGACTTCTTGATACCTTTGTAAAAAAGGTTGTTATATTAGGTGATTGCTCCATGAAGAGTTCATTTTAAAGTAAAAGCTTTGGTTTGTTTGTTTTTTTTTTTTCAGTTTCTTCCTGTATGTGTTCTTGGTAGCGGTTGCTCTGTTGTTGGTCATGGCTGGCCACTATGCCTTGACTTCTGTGAAGGTAAACTGAGAGCTTGCATTTAACAGGCAGTAATAATTTTTTATGTAGTAGAACATGTAAAATGTAAATGTAAATCTTATTTATAGTGGTCATGCACTTAGCTATACAAGCGCTAAGCTTGGCTAGTTTACAGGCATGCCACT